AATCCATATTAAGAGAATCTAAAAACCCAAGACATCTCAGTGTCAAAGAGGAAAAGAAACGCTATTTTATGGACTTCCTCTGTATTGCTTATGGTGCTGGGAGTATTCTAGTATGCTATCACATTTAATTCCTATTACAAGTTTTAAGCCATTCAGTCACACCACCTTTTCAATGCAGCACTTCTGACAAAGGTTTATCAAGCACAGGCTTCCACAGGCTTCTTTACAGGGGAGTAATTACCTCACCTCAGTGCATACCTCTGCCCCATGCTGAATAACAGCTGGAAAGTTCTAACTTGTGTAAGTTATACTCTGTCTTATTGTGGTGTCCCCACATTGGTCCAGTTCATGTCCTTTGAGCTACACAGAATAAGTCTAATTTTCCATTCATAGCACAGCCTTTCAGATGACTAAAGGCATTCCTTATTTCTTTCTTCTTTAGGATAAACTGGTTTGTTCATCATGTAGCTAGAAATGAGACAGCAAATTAAAGAATATTTTGAGCTAGAAAGGCCCTTAAGGTCATGTCATCCAGAGACTGCCTGGCAAGACAGTACAGCATTATGGGCAGAAGTCTGGGCTTTAGAGAGAGAGAGACTTGTATCCAGAGATATAGCAGTAACTTACTATTTAACCTTTGGCAAATTACCTAACATCTCTGTACCCCTCAGCTTCTTTATCCATAAAACAAAGAGAATAATACTATTGACATAGCAGAGTTGATGTGAGGGTTGAATGAGATAATGCAAGGGAAGCTCTTAGCAGAGTGTTTGGCACACAGTAAGCAGTCAATAAATATTAGCTATAATTATTAGAGGCCCAAAAGGGCAGGGACTTGCTCAAGATCACAGAGCAACTCAGAGGCAGAGCTGGAGTTAGACCAAGGACTCCTGACTCCCAGGCCAGGGCTCTTTCTTGTTTCACATTTCCACTCTGCCTTGCTCAGGAAAGGGAAATAACCCCAGAGGGAACTGGAATACTTCACTCACTGAATCAGTTAGAATGCAAGTAAGAGAAAAGCTGGTTTAGAGTGGCTTACCTTTTATTTTTTTAAGACGGGGGCCAGAGGAGGGTTAGTCTGGTGATTCTGTCATGTTTCTGATGGCCCAGACTGTTCCCACTAAGCCTTGAGGGAGACCCCCCTCATGATCGCGAAATGGCTGATGTGACACCGAGCACCATGCCTTCCCACACAGGAAGAAAGGGCGTGGGAGCAAAAGGGTCTTCTCTTCTCATGCCTCTCTCTCATCCAGGAGGGAAGCTTTCCAAGCAGACCATCCCCTTATATGTCATTGACCAAGATGAGGTCATACGTCCACTCTGAGACCACTCAGGGGCAAAGAAGGCATTCCCATGAATGGCTTGGATCATCCCTGTTGCTGGGCATCTTGCTACTGAATTAAGGAAGAGGGAATTGGCTGTGGGAAGGCAACCAATTGTGCCTGCCATACTCACCCTCTGCCTTCTCTCTAGATTGGCCTCCTGTTTTTTCTCCATTGTCTGCCAGGAAGTCTTCCCTGATTTATACCCCTTTGTCCAGTACATCCTCTTCTCTCATGTAATTGAGCAGTGCTCAATTCAAGTCACAGTCTACTTTAACAAAGGATCTCGTCTTTGTGTGTCCAAATCTTGTCTTCTCAATCTATCAACATTGGAAGACTAATAGCAGCTGCTACTGAATAAGTACCTATTTAGGGCCAGGCACTTGCCTAGACACTTGTGTAGCCAGCTTCCAAATGGCTCCCAATGATCCACATCTCCTGGTATTCACACCCTTTTGTATTGCCCTCCCGTGTTTTACCAAGGTTAGTCTGTATGGCCAATAGAATACCTCAAAAGTTATGGTATGTCATTTCACTTTCATCTGGGCAACACACATTCCCTTTTTTGACTCATTTCATTCTAGGAGAAGTTAGCCACCATGTCACGAGCAGCCCTATGGAGAGGCTTACATAGAAAGAAACTGAAACTTGTGACCATGGTTTGAGAATAGCTTGGGAAAGGGTCCTTCTGCCCTGATTGAACCTTCTGATGACTGCAGCCCTGGCTGACACTCGACTGCAACCTCCTGAGAGATCCTGAGCCAGGATCTCCTAGTTAATTCACTTCCTGGCTCTAGGTCCTCAGGAGCTGTGTGAGATAATAAAAATTTGCCATTTTAAGGTGCTAAGTTTTGGGGTAATTTGTTACTCAGCAATAATTAACTATGTACTCTGGTGCCACGTTATCACATTAAATCCTCATGACAACCTGGAAAGGTGGAATTTGTTTTTTCCATTTTTCAGATGAGAAAAACCAAGGCTGAGATTAGTGTAGTGGCTTCCCACAGCTGGAAAGTGGCCGAGCTGGGATTGGCCCCATGTCTATCAGATTCCAAAGCAGAGGGGAGCTGGTTCTGTTTTTCAGCTGTGGTGTCTCCAGTTCCAGGGTGAAGATTGAGGAATCAAGGACAGGAGGAGGTGGTCTCTTTGTCTGAGGTGTTTTCTCTCCCTTTTTCCATTTCAATCATGCTACTTTAGCAGCTATGACATCTATTGTTTATAAATGATTCAGTGACAAGTTTATTAGGAAAAGCACCAGAGTTTCAAGTGACCTTAGACAAGGTCCTACACTCTTTTAGACCTCAGTTTCTTGATGTACTACATGGGGGTAATAACCCTGGTTCCACATTCCTCACCAGGAAGCCATGAGCACCAAGTACGAAGGGACTTTGTAAAATGTCAAGTGTTGTGATCCCAGAAAGTTTTGCCTTGAATAAAGAGCACCCCTCCCCCATTGCCCCCACAGTCTGCAGGGAGGTAGCCTTGCACAGCCACCTTTGTGCAAGTGACCAGGGCTCCCTCTTCTCCCACCTGAGTCTAGGTTCAGAAGACTGAGAAGACGGAGAGAAGTTGAGGGCTCCAGCCCACTTCTTCAACCTCATCCCTCACCGTGACCTCCCTCTCAAGCCACACCGCAGCCCTACTGAACTAGTGGAAATTCCCCAAGCCTGCCAGGAGCTTTCTGTATGCTGAGCCTTTATCTGTGTGGTTTCTTCTCCCTAGACACCACTCCCAACGTGTCCACCTGGTGTGTCACTACTCATCTTAGATGTCCCCACTTCCATGATACCTCTCTTGACCTGGTTCAAAGGCTTCTACTCCTCTTCTGGATTAGTGCATCAGGCTCCCACCTCAGCACTTGGCCTCCAGCTTCTCTTTTACACTTGAAGCCTCATGGTGCAGCCTTTCTAAAACACAAATCTTGTCATGTCACTCCCTGCTTAAAATAACCAGCCAATGAATGATCCATCAATCAATGCTTTAAGAGCTCTTCCTTGCTCTCAGGAAGACATCCAAAGCCTTCGGCTGGAACTCAAGGCTTGCTCCCTGCTGGTGTCTCCAAACTCAGCTCTCTTCTCTCCTGATCGCCCAGCACAGGTGGGACACCCCAGCCACATCATGCTCTTTCCATAGCTCAGACCCACCTCACTCTCTTATGCCTTCCTATCTGCTGGTCCTATTGTTTTCATGTCCATTCCTACCTTCCCCACCTGGTGACTTTCTGCCTAAGCCTGAAGGCCAGCCCTGATTTAACCTCTTCTGGGAAGCCTTCACTGGTGGCCCCAGGAACAGTATGTGGCTTCTGCCTCCCTCTCCTATATGACTGCTCAAGCTTTTGTAACTGTCAGCTTGCCTGCACACACTGGAGTTTCCTGTATCTGACACACGATCTTGTCCCCTGCAGGGTCAGCACAGGTGCTTGGAGCAGCCATGAAGGACTTTTGGTTGAAGGAATGAAGGAATGAATGAATGAATGAATGGTGAATGAATCCATCTTTGAGCCAACACTCCATGGCCAGCCTCAGACTGCTGTTTCCTAGGGGAAGCCCATTTTATAGCAAAAGAGGAAGTGGAAGGAAGGGACTGCTCTGGACCAGAGAAGGAAAACTAATAAAAATGTGAATCTGGGTGAGGACAGCTGTACCAGGAAGACCGAGACGGTTGAGCCCTGGCGGACGGTGGGAGAGAGATTAGGGGATAAGCAGAGCAGGGCCAGGGCAGGGCAAAGAGAGTGTGTCCCTCCTCGGTGGTACCTCCTCCCTCTGTCTTCACCACTGTCCCTGTCCCCATGCTCTATGCACTCCTGACATTCTCTCAGGGATCTGGGACAGCGAAAGAAACTTGTAAGTGTCGATCATCAGGTGCGCTGCCTGTGAGTAAGTATGTGGTCATTATTTGGCCTTCACAACTTTTGGGAGTCAGGAAATAGGAATGACCAACCTCACTTTCCAGGTGAAGGAACTGAGATGCAGAGAAGTTAAATCACCGTGAGTAAGTTGCAGAGTCAAGATTTGAATTCAAATCTAACTGACCCTAAAACTCTGTTCTTTTCCCTCCATTCCACTGGAGTCTCGAGTCAGGCTTCAGATGGTCCCCAACCTCTGAAATCAGATGCACTATTGTGTGTGTGTGTGTGTGTGTGTGTGTGTGTGTGTGAGAGAGAGAGAGAGAGAGAGAGAGAATGCATGTTCCTTTTTTATGGGAAGTCCATATCTTTTATCCTCTAAAGCGATTGTCACCTGCCCCCTGCCTATACCATAGTACCTCCCTGGAGGTGGTGGCCTTTGAGCTGAGTATAGAAGGTTGGGGTGCAGTGGGGTGGGATGAAGAAGGTTGTCTTGAAAGACAAATACCATATGACCTCACCTTTAACAGGAAGCTAAACAACAAAACAAACAAGCAAGCAGAATAAAAACAAAGACACTGAAATACAGAACAAGGGGACAGTGACCAGAGGGGAGAGGGAAGGGAATTTAAGGGGAAAAAGGGGGAGGGATTTGGAGGAACAAATAGGAAGGACACAGGGATGAGAACTAAGGGGGGTGGAGATGGGAAGGAGGTGGGGAGCACGGGGCGGGGGAGGCTGGGATGGGAAAAATAGACAAAAAACTGTACTTAAAAAATAACTAAATAAAAATTTTTAAAAAGTGTACTTATCAAAAATAAAAAATAAAAAAAGAATGCCGGCTTGGTAGAGAGGAGCACGCGTAGGGGCACGTTAGGGGAAGGAGTTCAACAGGTCTGAAGAATGCCGAGGGTGCCGTGGTTCTTGTTCCTCATCTGTTTGTGCTCCAGTCATAGCTCCTGGCCCCCAGCTCCTAAAAGGCATCTGCCTGCCCTGCAACTTGCCAGCGTGGGTCTACAGGCCAGAGGCACTCCAGACCAAGCATCCGGATACTTGTTCCGGTCACAGTCCTGTCCTCTGCTGGATTTTATCACCATGAGTAGAAGCTAGCAGGGAGATGTCACAGCTTCTCCTTCCAGCTTCTGAGTACAGGGTGGGAAGACAGTGAGCACACAGGTACAATTGCCTGTGGCTCCTCATTGGCCAGAGGCCAACATTAGGGAAGAGGACTGTTTCCTGGGCCCTTCCACCACTTCCACTCTCCCTTCCTCCCCTCCCGGCTTGCAGCTCCATGTTTCTACTGCCCTGGGGTCCCCCTACCCTGACCAACCTGAGAGGTTTTAAGCACGAGGACCTAGTCTTCTTCAAATCTCAGCTCAACCCAGAGGTGGAATCGGCATGAAGTTGATGCTGCTTGAGCATCCGGGTCTCTGTATGGTTATGTTGTCATGCTCCTGGGAAACTCACAAAGGTAAGATCTTTAACCACATGCTGGTTCTTTTCACTCCAACTTCCCTCATGTCCCAACTTCCCTTTATGTGAAGGGGTTGGAGGGGCCCTGGGCACATCTGGCTAAGGGGGATGAGTTGAGTTGGGGTTCAGTTTAATTGGGGTTAATTCAGACATATTTATGTGGTTCTCAGTCACCTCTGCATGGAGATCAATCCCTGCTAGCCACCTCTGTGTTTGGAACAGCTTCTAGGAGTCTTCCTACCCACTGTCCAACTCACTCAGAATTGTGACTTCAAGGTGTCCTATCCAGTGGTCGTCTCATGACATGAATGTTTTATGTCACCTGGCCCTGGAAGCATATGGACAATGAAGGAGAAACAGGCTTTAAATGTGCAGAAACAGAAGCCAGTCTGTGGGAGATCCTCCCAATTGTCCGGGGGGGGGGGGGTGTGATGTACTTTAGAGGCGCACACAGCAGTTGGTGTAAACTGTGATATTTTTCTAAATTGTGTGATGTAGTTGTTTTGACTTCTTTTCTCATTCTAGGTAGTCACTTCCTTACCTCATTCTGTGTTCTTTTTCTTAGAGGGCTCTCCAAAGGGTATAAGCTTTAGTTCCCAGAAAATCTGGACCTAACCCTGGTGATGCCTTTCTTTCCTATGTGGCCCTGGGCAAGTTACTTAGCCTATCTGAACCGTTTCCTCTTTGGTGAAACCTAAATGGCAGTTCGGGCAGGTGAGGACTCAGAAAGCCTCATGCCCTTATTCCAGTTCTGAAACCATCACTGGAGGAAGTAGCCCAGCCTCATGAAAATGAGACCAGAATATACGGGCAGGGGAAGATGTAATATACAAGAAATAATGGGGAGCAGGGAATCCAGTAAACCTTAAATCCAAGTAATTGGAAATAATGTGGTTGTTGCAAATTCTAATGCAGTCTGTAAGAAAGGATTTTCGTAATAGAAGAGACATTATGCAAGAACAAATTTAATAACAAGCTGTATCTATAATTCCAGTTTATTTCTGCCAAACCAGGGAAACAGGGAAGGAGAAGAAATATACACATACAAAGTCCTTCATCTTGTTGAGGATTTGAAATTCTTGGCATTGACAAATACGGGCTCAGATGTTTGTTGAACATTGAAAGGTATCAGGAATAGTAGAGTAAAGTGGGAATTAGAACGTCTGCACTTCCCTCCTCTCTCATGCGAGATGGCCTCAAGGCCTGATGCTGGGAGTACTTGGGGGGTCCAGCCACTTGCGCCCCCTGTGCCCTCAGCCTCCCCCGGCTGTCAGCACATGGCTGGACACAGGGCTTGGGAAGCGGCTGCTGATGGCTCCCTGCCTCCTGCCGGTGGAGCAGCAGGTCCCGGCCAGGTCAGAGAGCTGAAGGCAACGGACTGGCCGGGAGCAGATCAGGGAGATACCAGGCCTGGCCGCAAAGTCAGAGGGGGCCTGATAGGCACAGGCCCACCTTGCTCAGACCCAAACATTCCACAGACTGACCCATGCAACAGAGCTGGGCGTGACTGCTCCCAGCATTACCAGCCCTGGCAGGACAAAGAGCAGGTTCTTATACCAACCCAGGTATCACAGAGAAGATGTGACCCCCAAAACTTGGGTATCACAGAACCAGATGCTAGCTACGTAGCCCCAGGTGACCCAGATTGAAGCACCCAGGAGGAAATGGTGAAATTAGGATTCTGGTTACAAAAGTCATAGTGACTTAGGTGGGGGTCACGGTCAAATGTGTGAAGTCTTGGCAATGCGTAGAGTACAAGTGAGTGTGTACAGGGTAAATTTGGTCTTTGAAGTCAGAAAATGCCCAAGTGAGGGGCCTGGGTCCCCCTCTCCACCAGAGTCCCTCACCCATACTGTGGCTCCCTGAGGGCAAGGTTTGAGACTTCCTGAGTCCGGAGAGTGAGTCTCCCCACTGAGCTGAGACCGGGAGGGGCCCTCACACAATATTTCCTACAGGGCCCACCCCACCTGGATGTCCTGAATGTGAGGCCACCTTTATCCCCAGTGAATCTACCCTCAGAGCTCAGGTCTCTGCCTCCAGGGGGCGCCAAATGGACACTTCTTGACAAAGGCTGTCATCCCACGGTTCAGGCTGAGTGGGGCTGGGGAGGAGACACTAGTGCTTCCTGACTGCACAGATGGCCACAGCTGGAAGGGGCCTGAAAGCTGGTTAAGTCCATGTCCACCTGGCAGGGGCGGTGGCTGAGGCTCAGAGAGGATGCTCCAGGCAAGCGGCAGAGCAGGGCTGGGATCTGGTATGCAGGGCAGCCTGGCTTACTGGTGTCCACTTTGCTACCCTAAGCCCCAGGAGGAAAGATACGCAGTCCCTCTGCCCAGGAAGGTCTGGTTTCAGGTCAGGAGAGGAGACCCTCTTGCTTCAGAAGTGGTCAACACAGCAAAGCCCCAAGTAACTCCTTGGTACAGATGATCAAACAGAGACCCAGAGAGGGTCAGCAACTTGCCTGAAGTCACACAGCAAGTTAGTGGAGGAGTCAGAATTAAAAAACAAGGCTCCTGACAGTCAATCTCAAGGCCAAGGGCCCAGAGGAGGTACTTGCTGTGGCTGCCTCTCTTGGCCAGGGTGGGGCCCCGGGACAGCTCACACTCTGAATTCTTCAAGCTTCTTCTCTGGTCCTGGCACTAACAATTGCTGTGGTGGGTCAGGGCATGCCACCACCTTGGTCCCCTCTTCTTTGTTCTGCTGCCTTAGAATAGCCAAAATCAAGGCGAAGCAAACCAGGGCGCTCGTCTTGAAGAAGAACTGGAGTCCAATGAACCTGGGAAAGAGCAAGGGACCCTTGGGCTCAAGACCTGCCCAGCTAGGGCTTGGAGGTCTTCGAGCTGGGGCAGAATGGGGTCAGCAATCGCCCCCCACTGACTGTCAAGTCAGAGACACTGAGGACCTGAGGGGAGGAGAGGCCTCCAGCCCCAGGGCAGTGGACTCTATGTCACGACAGCCTCGGTTGGGGAGGTGAGGGAGCCCCTGGAGTTGGGCCGGGGCGGCCCTTCCCTGCAAGAGGGGGACGCACTGTGTGGGAGGAGCCCTGGGTGAGGAGCAGAAGCCCGGGTACCCTCCCTGCCCCACGCCTGACGGCCTTGTGGCTGGGGCCAGCCCTGCCTCTGTCTAGGTCCCCTGAGGGATCTGGGGGCCTATGATTGCAACTTTGGATTGCACCCCCTCTGCTGAAGGAAAAAGAGGATTCATTCTCTCCCCTTTGTCTCACTCAGAGATTTTCAACCAGGGTGCTGCAAGAGTTTTCCAAACAGGAGCACTAACTTCTTTTTCTTCAGATTGTCAGCTAAAAAAGTGACCACAGCCATCCCAATAGCCATCTGATGTGAATGAATCACAGCTATACCTTTTTTTTTGTTGGGTTGGCAAAAAATATATTTTTTTGGTGTGCTGCAAAATTTTAGTAATTTGTTTATGTACCATGAGATGAAAAAGGTTGGAAATCACTGGTCTGACTCACCGAGTCTCCCATTTAACTGTTCCCACCCCCAAGGACAACCCTGGGCAGTCCTGGCCCCCAGGGGCCACACCCCACCTTGGAGCTGCATTCCAGCCTTGCTAGCAAGTGCCCCAAACCTCTCAACCCACCCCAGGGCCAGCAGCCTCCCTGCCTTCGGGCTCCTGTGTGCTTCCCGTTGTACAGTGGGAAGACGGAGCCCTGAAAAGGCAGGTCTTACAAAGAGGGAGAAAGAGCTGGGCCTGGATCCCAGGCCTCCAGTGTTGCAGATGGGGCCTTCTTCCTACCCGCCCCCCTCAATTTCCTGTCTCTCTCACTACCAGGCTGCTCCCTTGGTTCTCCCCACACTCGGCTGTGATGATGCAGTTCCTGCACAGACTGCCATCACACAGCTTGGATTCAAGGCCCAGCTTCTCCAGTTATCAGCTAGGTCTTTGGGCCACATTAACTCCCAACTCTTCCATCAGCTCAGCACTGGATACAGCGCTTGTCACCAGCAGGATTTCCTCCCCCAGCTGGTGTCCTGCCCAGGACCCCTCCAGTACTTCAGGCGCCCTTCCCACAGCCTCAGGTCTCACCGGTTTCGGAGCAGGTCATGGTCATAGTAGCGGCAGACGGCCCGACGCCCACAGCTCCAGGCCCAGTGCAGGCAGGTGGTGTCGATGGCGCTGCCGTGGATCACAGGGCTGGGCATCCAGGCTGGAGGAGGACAGGCTCAGGATACGGTGGGTCTGGCATTCCCGCTCCCCCACTCTGTCACTCCCTGGCATACACAACCCCCCGGGGGCTCCGGGACAGTGGAGAACTCTTGGCCCATGTCTTTGGCTCTCAAGCCCAACCCTCACCTCAGAATCAGATGCTGCCTCCCTGAGGGGCTGTCTAGCTGCTCACACACCCACCTCCACTACCTGGGTCCAACCTGCCTCCCTATGGGCCTGCAAACCCCAAGGTCAGGACTGGGGTCCCACTCATCCCGGTGCCCCCAGGCCCAGTGCACAGTGGGTGTCCGGACCGGTGGTCCCAAGCAGGCTCTTTACCCAAAACTCTCAGGAGCATGAACTGGATTCCCACGGCCAAAGTCTTGTCTTCTTTCTTCACTCCCCTAACAAGCAGGAACATAGATGACACAAGGATTGACAGGGCTCCTGCCCTCAAGGGACTCCCACCGTCCCCTTCTCTCCCACCACCTGCCAGCCTCCCCTGGCCTCAGGCTCCTTGAGTGGGATGGGGCCGGGGCCTCAGGCTCCACACTCCATTTCCAGTCAACCTGCAGAGCAGGGTCCCCACGTGTCAGGCACAGCCACTGACGGTCAGGGCCGCGTGCTGAGCTCCCTGTGCTGGTCGCAGATGCCTTCCCTCCCTCCCCATGCCCTGGCTCCACCAGCGTCTCCCCTTCCCACTACACTGGACAGAGCCTGGAGCTGGATGCCAGTCGGGCCTCATCCGCCGCGATGCCACAGCTCCGGAGGCCCTGTCAACCACTGGCTCCTATCCTAGGCGATACCGGCAGCTGGTGTTAGTGGAGCACTGACTACGGGCTCAGTCATTCTCTGCTGCAGCACCCCCTTGCCCCCATGAAGTAGGTATATTATTAGCCCCATTTTACCAATTAGGAGACTGACAGATTCTTGGACAGGTTAAGTGATTTGGCCGAGATCCCACGACTGATGGCCGTCAAGAGCTAGAGTTTGTGCAGCAGCACTTTGCCTGCCTTCGCTCCTCCTAAGCAGTCTGCCCGCTGGGCCACCTGCTGACTCTACTTTGTCTCTGCGGCCAGACTATTGTATGGGTCTCCTTGTCTTCTAGTATTTGTAAGGGGCTCCATCCCCATTCTAATTTTCTAGAAAACATGAAATAAAATAACCCCAGCATAATGAAAAATTGGAATTATCCCTTCTATGAGGTCCCCTTATTGAGCCCCCACCCTGATTGCTGCTGACTTTGGCCTCAGATGACAATGGGTCAGTCCCAGCAGGCACCCTCAGGACAATAGCCAGAAAGATCTTGGCTATTGCTCAGCCAAGAGGCAGTGCTCAGCATGGGCTGGGTCCACGGTGGGCACTTAATAAGTGCTGGTTAGCCAGAAGTGGCATTCACGCAGTGGATGACACCAGTAGGATCTGGTTTTCTGAACGAACCTCTCTCTGCCTGCCAGACCATAGGGTGGGGGCTGGGAGCCCCGTGACCCTGTGCCTGGGAGGCAACAGCAGGGCCTTAGCTGTGGACTCCCCTCCCCTGGGACCAATAAGGGCCTGGGCTCTGGGCCCCAGCACCAGTATGTTCCCCTTGCTACCCAACACTTGCTACGTGACCTGGGGTTAGCTCCTGAATTGCTCTGAGCCTCAGTTTTTGTATCTGTAAGATGGGAGAAAACTTCATCTCCGCAGCTTGTCATGAGGATGAGGCAGGACAGTAGGAGCCTGGGCTGTTGTGGGGGGGGGGCCCACCCGTAACCCCCCTTCTTCAAAGGCCTCCCTCAGGATTCCTTGCCTGCCTGCAGTTAAGGACCTCTTGGGGTCCGCCAGCTCTGGTCCACCCCTGCCCTCACCTCAGGATGAGCATGAAGGAGGGTGTGTGGGTGATGCAGGCCAGGGCTGCGCTCAGGCCGATCAGGAGCATGAAGGGCAGCACCAGGTGGCTGCAGGCTGAGTCGCAGGAGCCCGCGGACACAGTGCCGTCCCCCACCACGCAGCTGCAGTTGGTGTAGAGAACCTGGGGCGGAAGAGGAGAAAGAGCCTTCAGGAACCTCCAGGGGCCAGCAGCCAGCCAAGGGCCTGATGCACCGGGAGGCTGGTGAGAGACCCAAGGGCACCGACTGGCTGAGTCAGAGCTGACAGGAGGATTTCTGACCCCCTGGCTGAGTCAGGGTGGCTGAGCAGGCAGGCAGGTGCCCGGACTCAGGTCGTCTGCACCCAAACGACCTGGGCCGCTGGGCCTGCCCTGCGGCTGTGGGGAGAGAGGGAAGTGGAAAGGAGAGAAGGGGGAGGGGCCTAGAGGAGCATCACCTCCAGCACTGCAAATGTACACACTCACACATTTACACACAGAGTCACACACACTTTTACACATGCCTGGTTTGGCAGGTGAGGGCCAAGGAAGGCTTTACTGGAGGGGGCTGTTGGACTTGGGTCTCGAGGAAGGAGAGTTTGCCCCAAGAAAGAGTAGGATGAGCACAGGGAGGGACAAATGTAAAATCACCAGGAATGAAAGACCCAGCAACTCTTCCCTCCAGCCCAGAGGCGGAGTGCAGGAGTGTGTGCAGCAGAGGGCAGCGGGGGAGGCGAGGGTGCGCTGGGGTGACATCGTGAGAGAGGAGCCTGGACTGCTGTCACCAGAGACACAGTGGACCAGGTGCCCTGCCAATTATCCTGCTGGCAACAACCTAACATACTGGACGAGGCGCTGGATGTATGGCCCTGAGTGCACCCACAAGCTGGCAGAAAGTAAAAAGGCTGAGCACTCAGGCCGGAGCCCAGAAGGATGAGAAGACTCCTGAAACCAGCTTCGGCCCCAGAATCTTGTGCAGTGGGATGCAGCCTTCTGAGGTTTGGGTGCTACGGGGCCAGAGTCCAGGCCCTCCCTCCTGCCAGGGTGAAAAATCTGACAGGAGGCTCCCAGAAAACTTCGACCCCTCAAAGGACTGAAGTATGAATGGAAGCTGACCTCTTCCAAACTGCCAAGAAATGCCCCGGGCTGGCTAAGGGTGTATTTGATTGCATTCCCACCCCCCAGGTGTCCTGGAAAACCTCTAGCCAAAGATTCTTAGAGAAGTGGTCTAGACTGACAGTGCCCTCAGGTGCCCGACAAGAGCAAATCCAAGCCAGGAAGCCTCACTTTCTCTTTTTCAAGATTTTATTTATTTTTAGAGAGAGGGGAAGGGAGGGAGAAAGAGAGGGAGAGACATCACTGTGTGATTGCCTCTCACACACCCCCTACTGGGGACCTGGCCTGCAACCCAGGCATGTGCCCTGCCAGGAATCGAATCTGTGACCCTTTGATTTGCAGGCTGGCCCTCAATCCACTGAGCCACACCAGCCAGGGCGGGGTTTTCTTTTGTTCCCCATATATCAGTTTCCTGACCAGTGTACCCAAGACCAGTGTGCCTCAGGGACCCTCGGGCTTCAGCTGGGAGGCAGGTGTGCAGGGATTGATTCCAGTGTGGCCTGGTTGGTTGGCAGGGGGCAGCTGGAACCCTCTGGGCCTCTCGCCTTCAGTCCTGGCAACCTCGGATACTTCCCCAAGTGAAAAGCTGTGGGAAGCCCTGAGGTGGATTGCTGGGAGCCTTGGAAAGATTCTAAGCACAGGAGAGCAAGGATGTGAGAGTACGAAAGCTGCTCTGGCAGCTGCAAGGGAAGTGGGTTGGAGAAAAGGGTGCTGGTTTGGGACAGAGAGCGAGGGCACCTAGGACTCAGCCTTGGGTAGGTGGGTAGGACCCCGGTTCTTCCCACTGCTCTGCAGAGCTCCTGTGCGTGACAAAGCTGTGGCGTCACATGTGTGACCTCCTCAGCACACAGCATTTGCACCTTCACCTACAGGCTAAGCAACCTGCTGGGTGGCAGATAGACTAGAGGGACAGGAAGGTGGAGACGTGAGCCAGGCCAAGGTTGCTGGAAGGGAATGCCCTGCCTGTTCCTTTTCTGAGAGGCTGGGATGGACACAAAAGCTAGGCCTTTCTCTGAAGGCCCAGGTCTGATTCTATGGCAGAAAGTTCTTCCTGTGAGTGATTTCAGTCTCCATCTGCCTCTGCTTCAGCCCTAGCCCCTGAGCCCTAGGTCCCGCCAGCCACCCAGCAAGCCCTTTTCCCATCTTTCCCCGGGTCACTTATTCATTCATAAAAGGTTACTTAGCACAGCTGTGCTGGATACAGACCCACTCATCTCTGGGCCCAGGAGCTCACACTCAGCCAAGCAGACAGACAGGCTCACCAAGAGACACTTCCAGGCCAGAGTGAGAGTTCCTGGCTGCTGAGCAGGGCTCGGCTGTACCTTCCTCCAAGTGCTATACCAAAAATGCAGTCTCTGTGGATGATTGAGAAAGGAGGCGGGGCTGGGAGGGCAGAGCCCTGGGTTCTAGTTCCAGCTCTGGCATTAAGACTCTGGGCAATTCTTGGTCCTTCCTGGGCCTCTATTTCCATCTGTATAATGGGCATAAATAGGAGCAGCCATTCCTGAGGGCTTAAAACTCCCCAGGCACTAAGTGTTTTTCATGGATTATGTCATGTGGCTCTCCACTTACCATTTAATGAGGTCATCTAGGGAAAGGGTTTAGCACAGTGCCTGGCAGGTAGTATGCACTCACTACTATCACCTCCATTTCACAGACCAGGAACACAGACTAATTTGCCTAGGGTGACAGAGTCGGTTAGAGGCAGAATGGAGATTTGGCACTTGAGCCGTGGCCTGGCCTCAGTGCTAAAGAGCCCATATGTGCAGGACTATTACACTGTGCCCTGGAGGATTCTGCCTCAGACACTGGGGCCTGGAGGCTTCTGGAATGGTCTCGAGGAGGTCAAACCAGGTTAGGACAGTGAGTGATAGAAGGCCCCGAAGGCTGGATTGCAATTATTCCGAATGTAAACAGTTTACACAGCCCAGGTGCCGCCTGGCTGACTTCAGAAGCACAGGCAGCCAGGTGCTTGGCTCTGCTGCAGCCAGTGAGGACCAGGCCTCTCCCTGGAGGAGCTGCAGGCTCAGATGCGGATGCCAAGTAGGACACAGCAGCAGGTGGGGGACTCTGGAGAGAGGGAGGTGTTGTCATAACAACAGTCCTGACACTGCAACCCCCCCCCCCACACACACACATGCTTTACAACCTGGGGGCTGGATACTGTCCCCATTTGTCATTCGGTGGGACTGAGGAGAAAGGGAGGAGGAGCCCGCCGGTCTCAGTGGCCTCTCTAACGTTCACACAGAATGCAGGACTGCTGGCCACACTGCCCCCTTTCCCACCCTGAGAGTTCCTGGAGGGCAGGGCCCCTGGCTCTGGGTCCTGGGCCCAGAGGACTGAATGGGCTCCCTGTGCGGCCTCTCTTCTGGTCTCCCCGTCTCCTAGCCTGCACTCTGCTCACCTTCCTCCACGCCACGGCCTCCGTGTGATCAAACCCAGGTCTGACTCTGTCACTCCCCTGCTTAAAAGTCATCCACATCTCTCCATGCTCTCTGCATAAAGTTCCCCCTTGAGATCTCACACTGCCGGCCCTCCTTGATCTGGGCCTTGCTTTTCCTCCACAAACCTTAGCTTCAGCTCCAGCAAGTTCTTTGCAGTTTCACAAATCGCTATATATTGTGTGTGTATGTGTGTGTGTGTGCCATGTAACTCTCTGCTTCTGCTCTTCCCCCTGCCTGGAAAGCTCTCCCCTAGTTTGCCTACTCACCCTTGAAGCCTCTGGGACCCTCCCAGGTGGGCTGTATCTCCTTCCGTCCTCATCTGTATTTGTGGGGACCACTTCTCCTGCCCAGCAGCACCCCTGAGCTCTTTCCCTTTGCATCTCTCCTGCACAGACAGCTGGGGCCAGATCTGTTCACCTCTGGGTTCTGGGCACTGGCACGTGGCTGGGCCCAAGCTGGCAATAAAAGCTTATTGAGAGAATAACATTCTACACCTGCCAGCGGAAGGAGACAGACAGAGAGCCAGAGAGTGTGAATGTTCAGAGCGGGAGAGTGTGGCCGGCACGCAGTGGCAGGGAAGGGCAGAGCCTATGAGAGGCAGAGGGAGCATCTGAAGGCCTGACCCACCTGGCTTTTGTCCGGAGCCTCCTGGACCACCTGCTTGGCGCAGCCTGCATGGCAGGGCGTGAGGAACTCCACACGGGTGCTGGTGTCGCAGACAGGGTTAAAGTCGTCTGTTGGGCAGGAGCAGGACTCCATGCAGCCTGGAAAGAGCTCCAGCCCCAGCTGGGCACTGCTAGGAGAGAAGGCCAGAAGGGTTGGCCTGGCTCTGCCTCCCTCGGGCCGGGAGCCAGTTGCACCCCAGCCCCCAGCCTGTCTCCCCACCCGAAAGAGCAGTGGCCAGCTCTCCTGATGGGAGACGGAGGAGCGGAGTCTGGACCAGATGCCTCTGAGGCCCCTTCCAGCCCCACAAGTCTATGGCTGTTTAAACTGCTTCTGTGACCATCTCGGCTCCTCAGTGGCCTGTCTTCAAGGAGCATAAGATAAATCCCTCCCAGAAACTAGTCTCCAGTGAAAAGTGCCTTTTTTCTCAACATAGATGGATTACTTCTTTTTCTTGGGAAATCTGAGCTGTGTGTGTGTGGAACTCAGGATCTCCAAGTAGCTGTGGGGTCTCTGATCTGCTCCTGCCTCTCTCTGGGCCTCAGTTTCTCTGCCTGTCACCTTAACCGGGGTCCCCCACCCCATCATCTTTCTTCAGTCTTGTGACCCCTTGCTCACTGTCACTACCTTGTCTCTGTGTCTAGGGCACATTTTTGTCCTACCTGCCTTCCTTCTGAGATCCTGTCCCCCAAATCCTGGGAGAGCCCCCACCTCAGTCAGCCAGGGCAAAGGTGGGTAGGAGATCAGAAGAGAGGCTGAGTACCAGCGGCAGGTCACCCTGGGAGGGGCGGAGGTGCCCCGGGACTCAGAATTCGACCTGGCTTCACAGTTTGAAGGGAGAAAGTCTGCCAGGGAGCCCATGGCCCAGCTGCAGAGGAGCAGCCAGAGGTGCCGTGGCCCTGGGGTGGGTGTGCGCAGGGCCCAGGCGGACTGGCAGGCCTGGCCAGCTCCGGGAAATCTCAGTTCCCTGGAGAAGGGAGTCAGCAGGGGCTGGGGAGGCAGCTGGGGAGACAACAGCTGAAACAGCCTGTAGCCAGAGCCAGGGGTGGGCAGGTGGAACAAAGGCGAGCTTGCTCCCTCCCGGAGGTGGGGTCTCCATCTGAGCAGGGTGGGAGACCACGGGCCAGCACAGGCCTCTCCTCCTTTCTCCCGCCCATCGTGGGTCTAACACTGTGTCCCACAGGAGGTGGAACAGACTGGCACTGTCTGAGCAGAGGGTCCATCGGGGGCGGCACTGGGGACCTCTGCCCAGGGTGCGGCCGTCTCAGAGCCCCCCTGCCTGCAGCTGGAAGGCTGCGTAGGTGAGACCTGGGGCCCCTTGCTGCTGCGGGGACAGCCCTAGCTCCAGGTGACCCTGGCTGCGTGACTTCCCCTTTCTGGGCCATGCTGTCCTCATCTGTGGAATGGGAGTGATGGCAGGACCCTCTTTCAGAGATCCCATGAAGGTCCAATGAGGAATACAAGAAGAGCCAGGTCGGGCATTGGGCAAGGGGCAGACCTCTGCTCTCAGTAGCTCTTGGTACTGTTACTGAGACCCCAGCCTGAGAACCTCTGCTCATTTTTTTCTGCGGGTCCTGAAAGGCATCTTCAATGAAACGGAACCCAAAGTTCAGTGAGTGAATTGCAAGAACACAGATGTGAACACGGATGAAATGAGATGTCAGGGTCAAGGTGAGAGGGAGAAGAAAAGAGAAATAGGGCATGTGGTGTGTAGGCTGACTTTTTGGAAAGTGGTGGTAACATAGCCATTTACTTTTTATTCCAAAAGCCAGTTCAAGGCCCTGGCTTCATCCTCAGACCTAGGGCCCGGCCGAGGACAGGGCTCTGCACACAGAAGGCCCTGCCCTGGCCATCAGCAATGCCTCCCTAGGGGAGAAGGAGAAGGAAGGAAGGAGGGAAGGAGGGGACCTGGGAGACCAGGGCTGAGCACTTCTGGAACCTGAGCCAAGAACCCACCCCCACCCCGTCCTACAGGAGGAACTCCAGGTGCAGAAAGCTGGGGAATTCTAGCTGCAGCTGGGCCAGCCTAAGCCTGAAGCAGTTCCCAGGAAAAATGAAGTCACTCTGGAGAAGAGGCCTCAACGTAACTTCCCACATCCTTTCCAAGATGCTCCCAAGAGGAGAAAGTATGTGTGGGGTGGGAAGGTGTGGGCAAGGGAAGGGAGATAGGCATCAGAGGCTTTCCTACTGGGGGTGGAGGCAGGCACTGCCCCACGGAGGTGGAGAAGTAATTCTGGAATTTTAGGGTTAGGGAACAACAGAATTTAGCTCCCAGGCCCTACAAACCAAGAATCTCCGAGGTCTCCAGGCCAATCCCTTCCCAGAGCAGGAGTCGTCCCTGATAAGCCCCCCAGGGATGGAGAGCCTGCTCCCTCCTTCCTTAGGCTGAGCTGGGCTCGGCCCCTGCGATGCGCCCCACCGCCACTGGCACTCGGGGCTCACTCTGGAGGTGCTGTGCCTGCAAGTGGCTCTGCCCTGACCGAGCCTCCACCCTTCCCCAAGCTGGAGCTGTCCTGCAGGCCAAGTTCCTTCCACCCCTGCCCCTTCCCCTGCTCGGGCCTGACATCTTCACTGGAGAGACAAGTCCCACTGCTCACAATGGGAAGGGAAGGAGACAGGGCTACAGGGAGGCAAGATTTGAAGTACCCCGCTGACCTGGCCTTGTCTGGGCTGCCCCCCTTCCCTGTCCCACCCTCTCCCATGCTTTTGCTCACATGCATCCTCTCTCTCTCTCATACTCACCCAGGCTGGTGGATGATGCCTGCGATGTGGTGAGTAGAGCAGCCCATGAAGAAGAGGGGCAGGCTGACAAGTAGGCAGGACAGCGCTCCCAGCAGGCAAAGGACACTGCAGTGCACGGGGCCCAGGTGGAGGCGCTTGACCAGGATGCCTCCCACTACCAAGCCCACGATAGCCGAGGGGAAGGAGAAGCAGCCAATGAGGACATTGGCGTAGGATGCTGTGACGGAAAACTGGCGCTCCAGGAACTTGGGCAGGAAGGTGGCCATGCCCGCTGCCATGGACGACAAGCACACCTGGGACAGGACCACCAGCAGGAAGATGGGGTGCCGCAGGGTGCGCAGCAGCACGCCGGGAAAGACTGTGGGGCGAACGGGGAGGAGGTCAGAGTGGGCAGCCACGCCAGTCGCTTCTGTTCCCGCCTAGTGCCCCCCTGTTCAGTTGAAACTGTCCCTTTCCTCCCTTCCCATCCCATGTGATTCTGTTACACTCAGTCCAACTGCATCGGACTCCTTTCCATCGAAGTCTATTTTATTTTTGAAATTCTGCTTCATTCTATTCCATCGAGTTAGGTTGCATTTTATCCAACTGTGCTTCTTTCCTTTGTATTCTGTTCAGAATTCTACTCCACATCCTTTTATTCCGTCCCACCCTATCTGATTCGGTTCGGCTCATGCCATCCCATTTCACTTCATGTCTTCCGTCCTACTTATTCCTCTCTTATCCTTTCTTTTCAGCCAGCCTTTCCCACCCCATCGTGCTGTAGCTCCTTCCAAGCCACCCAGGCCTTTGTCTTCCCTTCTGTGTCCCCAACAGGGGGCCACATCCCTTCCCCTGCTCTCCCCATCCTCAGTTCACGTTTCTCCACAGCACTTCACCTAACATACTGCACACTTGACTCATTTGGCCATTTTTTTTTGGCCACACCACCACAATGCCACCTTCATTGAGAGCAGGGATTTTTGTCTGTTGTGTCACTTGCTGGATTTCCAGAGCCAGGGGCACAGCAAGCACTCAACCAAAGTTTAAGAAATGAATGAGGGAACGAATGCATGGACACGCAGATGAATGTGCGATCAAATACCCAAGTGTTAGGGCGTCATCTAGACCTCAAGATCAGGTGAAAGCTGAGCAGGCTGGCTGCTGGGTGGCTTCCTGGAGGTGGGCAGGGGTGGGCAGGGGTGGGGTCTGAGGACTGGGAAGACCTGGAGAGACTGGGCAGAAAGGAAAAGGAATTCCTAACAGGGGCACAGCAGTGGCAACTGCATAGAGACAAGGATAGAAGTGACAACCTCCCCAGGCTCTTCCTGGCTCCTAGACTGTGCAAGTCTGCTAAACTGAAGGGTGCACAACCCGGGGTAAGTCCCGAGCTCTGGGCTTCAGGCCCTTCATCAGCAGGGGCAGCCAAGGTGACGGCCAGGGATGCTTCTGTTCTGACATGTGTGACGCTCTCCGCCACCACCAACAGAGGAAGTTACACAGAAGGTGTGTGGGACAGAGGAGGAACGGCCTTTCTAAGAAGAGACATCAGAGAAGCCAGCTGCTTGCCAGGCTGGCCTGGTCGGGAAAGATGGCTATGGGGCCACCCTGGGCCGAGTCCCCTTCTGCTCCTGCAGCAGTAGGGCCGGGGCCGCTGTCTTGGGAGATCTGTGCCTGTCCTCAGAGCATGGCCAGAGTCAAGCCAGCTGATTCCTTAGCTCCTGGGTGGGGCCTGGAGCTGTTTTCTTGGGATAAAAAGTCCAGGCAGGGTAGGTGGGAGCTGAGGCTGTGGAATTCCCCCTTCTTCATGTCCCAGGCCTGCTTCCTGTCCCTAGTCTCTTGTCACATACACGGTGCATTCAGCCAGGAATTGAAGCAGGGAGCTGTGACACCAAGCCTTCACCCCAGATCACTGCCCCAGTCTCCCTCCCTCCCTCCCTCCCTCCCTCCATGAGCTGCCCTGTCCAAAATTGACCTGGGCCTGGCCCAAGCTGCATAGGTGCCCTCATTGTACAGGTGGCAGGGACTCACCCAAGTTCACTTCCAGAGGCTGGGGCAAGGTCAGAAGTTTCCGGGAGTTTCCTGACTCCTAGTGTAAGGGCCATTCTCCCTTCTATCCCCCCAACCCACATTCCTGCCTGACTGCGTCTATTAATTGTTTCCACCCTGTTCTCTGTGCTATCCTCCCTGCAGTGCAGCCTGCACCCATTCTCTATCTCCAGGCCTGCAGCCTGTCCCTGGGACAGGTGGAAAGCTCTTGGAAGGCAGGGCTGAGCCTTTCACTTAGATAGAGAGACCTGAAGGGAAACTTCAGGGTCCATCTCTAGCTCAGCCACATGTCTTCACTAGACAGGGGCTTCCTTTAGCTTAGCACAACATCTCCCTCCGAAGATAAGCCAGGGCCTCTCAGCTCAGAGACGATGCTTCCCCGATCAGACAATGCGTCCTCCTCCAGCACAGAGGCCAGGTCTCAGAGGAGGAGACCTGGAGAGCCAGGAGACCTCAGAGGAGACTTAGACCCAGCAGGTTCTACTTCTACTCAGGGACTATGTATCTTCCATTGGACAGAGACCTGGCCCAAGATAGACACTTGGCTCTCCCCTCACCCGGGGAATCTCCCAGCTCAGGGCCTATGTCTCCCCTATCAGATAGGGGCCTTCCTTCGCTCAGGGACTGTCTTCCTCCAAGAGTTTCCATGCAGTCAAGAACAAGACTCAGGATCAGACTGGTCCCTCTGGAGCTCAGTAGAAAGCCCAGCAGCCAGGTTGGCAGAGCAGCCACAGGGTTTGTGGCCGGCACTGCCTCGATTTTCTCTAGGCTCATGTAGAAATTGAAACTACCTGAGACTCGCTGGCCCAGGACACCCACCCCAGGATTCAGTTTCAGCAACTGGTTCCAGCTTCCTCTGGGCAGGAGCCAGAGCAGTGATTAATAAGCTCTTCCACCCCGCGCCAGCTCCCTCCAGCAGCGGAGGGCGGTCAAGGAGTCTGAGCCCCTGCCTCTAGGCTTAGCTCTGGGGGGGTCCACCCCCACTTTCCCCAGGGTTGCTGGAGAACTGGAAGCTAGATTATTGGTATCCCAACATCATATCTTAGTAAACACCAAACATTGGTAGCTTAATTAACTTCCTGTTACAAAAGTCCTCAGTGAGGACATGAAGTAAACCCTGTGGTTATCATCCTCTTAAACCACAGGCAGTTCAATCAGCTGTCCCGGGGCACATCAGAATAACAACAGGAGGGCAGGAGTGATCATTGAAATAATAACTATACCTTCTATAAGTACAGTTTTTAAAAATAATATACAAAGAGGTTTCCATTTGCCACCTCATTTGATTTTCTAACAGTCCTTAAGAGAGGCAGAGCGAGGATGAGAGAGCCATCTTTCAGGTGAGGAAACTCAGGTAGGGGATGAAAGAAAGGTTACATGCTTGTCAGTGTTGGGAGCGGGCCACTAACTGAGGCCTCTGACTTCTCGCCCAGGGCTGTGCAGGAGCCTCGCTCACAGCAGCCAGTCAGCAGTCCTGGGATCAGTCTTTGCAAAAGGGACAGCCTGCTTACAACATGGACCCTGGTCACTGATCAGCTGAGTTCAGAGTCCCAGGATCAGAGTGATCATTGAGTGCACCTGGCACGGCATGGACGAGAAAACCAAGGCCCAGAGAGGAGCAATCACCTGGGTCCAAAGTCCAAGTTTCTGCTCTTTAGCCCAGAATTCCTTCTCCACATATCACAGTCCAGGAATTGAATAAATGTTTACTGAGAGCCTTGTGTTTGCAGGTTCAGTGGGAGCTGAGAGAAGGGTCACAGATGAGCCAGAAGAGGCACTGGCCTTCAGGAGCTCCCTGCTTGTGGGGAAGGGCTGGACGAGTACGCAGCACAAATCTGAGCTGATCTAGCAGCCCCAAGCATTCAGAGAATTGAGCCAGGGACAGCCAAGCTAGGTGGGCAGAGGAGAGAAGTGGCACTTGATTTTGACCTAGAGGAACAAGGAAGATTTTTTTTTAATCCTCACCCAAGGATATGTTTATTGGTTTTAGAGAGAGGAGGTGGGGTAGAGAGAGAGAAACATCAGCGTGAAAGAGAGAGAGAGAGAGAACCATCCATTGGTTGCCTCCCAAATACATCTGGACCAGGGGTCAAACCCAGAACCTAGGTATGTGCCCTGACCAGGAGTAGAACTCTGTCTTTTGGTGTACAAGATGATGCTCCAACCAGCTGAGCCACCTGGCCAGGGTAACAAGGGAGATTTTGATGGATAGCAATAAGAAATGATGTTCCAGGCAGAGGGGGTCATATGATCAAAAGCTTACAAGGAGTCTATGGTGTTCATGAAGGACCTATAGGGACGGAAGGCAAATAAGAAAGGCAGGGATGGGCTAGTTCCTGTGCAGTTTCAAACACCCCTCTACCTCCATGTCCCCACAGTATGGCCTATGCTCACCTACCTTTGATGAACTGGACCACAGTCAGGTCTGATGCGATCTGGGCTAGGCCATTGCGCTTCTTCCGGGACTGCTCAGGGCTCTGCTTGGAGGAGGAATCTTCACCCTGAGAAGACACAACCGTGGGCAGTTGGCTGGATGAAACATTCTGCTCACAGACGCTTGTGGGCGGGGAAGGGGACTCTGGGAGCGGAGAGGTGGGGGCCTGTCATCTCCTCGGGGGCAATTGGGGTCAACAGTGCTCCATTTGTTCTTGGCCTGAAGGTATTTAACAAGTGGGTTTCCTTTTTTAAGAAAACAGATTTTATTGCCCAGCAATTAAAAGTATTCAAACACATAATTTCTACATAATTTATTGCAAGGTGATCAATAGTCAATAAAATACTAATTTCCATTATGTGCTTCAGTTCATGTCTTCTTCGCCAGTTCTTTATTTTGCCTTCCAAAATGTCCCATGCCACACCTCTGAGGCAACGAAGAATTTTTCAACACCACAGCTAAGAACTTGAACATCCACTCCCCTGCTGTCACCTCCGTGCTGGCTACACGCGCCTAGTGGTCTAGTCATCCTCTGATGGGTTTTTGGAAGCATTCATCATGACAAGTGGTTTTGAAAGAAGGGCTAAAATTCCAATGGCTCCCTTTCGTCATGACCACCATTAACATCATAGTAACGACCAGCATCACCAAAAATTACCACCATCATCATTATTCCCATCACCTTCAAATCGCCCCATTTGCACCACCAGTTTCATCATGGATAAGTGACCCATATCGTCCTTACTATTATCATAGTCTCTGTCATCATCACCCATCACCAGCACAATCATTATCATTGTCACTGTCACCTGACATAATGAAGTTATGATTGTAAGAACCACCGACATCATCTTCAGCGTTCCGGACACCATCCTTCCCCTGACACTGTCCTTACACCATCAGCATCACCAACCTCTGCCCGAGATTAATGCCACACTGCTCTCATCAGTTACTGTCACCCGTGGCTATCATCACTTGCAAAGTCACCATAAGCAAGAGCCTCCAGTGAGCTGTGCCTTCCTAGAGGTTGGGGTGGTTTGAGCCCACAGGCTTGTCTGTCCTCTACTGTCTGCTATGAGAGGAAGAGGACGGGGCTGGCCGAGGCAAGAGGCAATGGCCCCTCTCCTCCTGCCAGGTGAGTCAGACCACACTCAGGGTTGCTCAGTGCTACCACCTCACCACTCAGAAACTCACGGTCACCCTGGGTCAGGACCCTCCAGGTTTGCATTGGTGGCCACCATGCAAACGTGCAGGAGAGGTCTTTTATCTTGGGAAGTAAAAGACTTTGGGGACACAATGACCATCTCCTGACTGTCAGAAAGGAGGAAATGATGGCAATGATTAGTGGTTACTAAGCACCTATCACAAGCCCAGTGCATTAACTTATCGAACTCACCACACCTTCTGGAGGAGATACTATCATAATCCCTATTTTCTGGGGATAAAATTGAGACACAGAGAAAGGAGGTAACTTGCATGGCCACACAACTTGCAAGGGGTCGGGCTGTGATTTGAACTCAGTTTGACTCCAGAGCCTCTATGCACTTGGCTGGTTCACCCTGAGGGCGGGGGGAGGTAGGAACCAAGGTCACTGAGGCCTACCTATTCTACCTGCCTTCCTCTAATACATTTTTACGCAGGTGTTATTGTGCACATTTTTTAAAGGAGGAAAATAAATATTGGAGAAGTCGCTACTGGCACAGGGTCATTTGAACATGAAGTGATTGAATGGGTCTGATTTGACTACATTTCTCTATGCACCTAAGACCAGAATTAGAAGCAGTAAGTTCTTTGGAGGAAGACTACAGCCCACTGCACAGAGCACTTTGATGAGCCTGTCCTGAGAGGGAGGGAGTTCCCCATCACTAGGAGCAAGCAAGCAGAGGCTGACTTCTCCCTGGTCATGGGGGAGAGGTTGGGCTGGAAAACTTATGTGGTTCTGCCTCTTGTGGACAAAAAAAGGGGGAGCTTCTGTAATAAAACTGACAGGCCCAGTGAAGGAAAATCACCTCACAGGGTGACCTGATCACAAATTCCTAACTGGGAAGGTCATGTGGTTAGTCCTGCCCAGACCTGTAACTTTTTAGTAAAAGGTTACCTTTGCCTTAAGCCAGCCCTGTCCATTGTTCTTGTGTTTCTGGGTTAACACGCCTTTGCAATGCCAAAACAGTCCTTTCTCAGACGCCTCGGAGACACCTCAAGGGAAAAGGCAATCTTGTTGACTATTCTGCACCTTGCTTTTCCCACCTTCCTGTGATCTTCCTTACCTTGCCCCCTAATTCCAAATGTATTTTTAAAACTGCAGAACCGTCATTCTCCACGGCATTGAGGTCTTGCTTTCCAGCAGCTGTCATTGGGTTGGCTCCAATAAACCTCATCATTCTTTACAGGTTTCGATGCTTCTCACAGTGACACTCCTTTCTTCCCACGGAGCCTCTGTCTCCACAGGCCTCACCTGGCCCGTGACTTTCTCTTTCCTTTCTCACCATTTTCATTTTTAAGGGAACCTCTGGAGGCAAATACTGGACTTTCCCACATATCAGAAGCTCCTGCTGCCCCCACCCCCAGGGGTACACTATTCTGATCTTCTTCTGCCTGGCTCCCTGGTGCTGGTTGGCTCAAGGCTCCAGCATCGCCCAGCAGGGAAATTCATTCAAACATCAGTTCCTGTATGTTTTTCCCTCTTGGGCGTTTCCCTTTCTTCTCTCTCTCTCTCTCTCTTTTTATTTCATCAGGTAGCAAGGGTTCTGCATTTCCTGGCTTCAGGGGAAGTTTGTGGCAATGATACAAAGAGATCTGATCAGATCACTGGGGAGAAGTAGGAAGGGGCCGTAGGAGGAGGCTGCCTGAGGCAATGGGAAACGGCCTAGGACAAGACTGGCTGAGCAGCTGAATGCCTGCAGAGTGCATGGAATTCTGGGCAAGAAGATCTGAAATTAAAAAAGGGCTCTCGGTGGGGTGCAAGGTCTCTCTGGCTCTCAGGCCCCCTTCCTCCAGGATGCCTGGATGGATGATCGTGCTGCAGCTGTCTGCATTTCCCAACAGACAGTATTCTGGATGGGAAGGAACTCCGGGCACAGCCTAGGATCGGGCTGGCCTGGCGCAGGGTGGCAGGTTCATTCTTTAGCTGTTTTAGAGGGGACAGAGTCTGAGGCAGAAGCCTGCCGTTCTTCCAAAATTGTGTAGCTTTTGTATATTATGTTGCTTAAGTTTGTAAACCAACCCTATAGAAATAAGATGAAACTAACAGGGGGAATGATAGGAGAACTCAGGCGTTAGAGTTTATTTAGCCTCAATCGATAAGCTTAAGTGACTAATGAATGCATGGGGAAAGCTGTCATTATAAAATTGTGAAGTTTTGAATAAACACTCCTTTTCCTTTAAAAGGAGGAAAGTGTTTCCTTTGAAACACTTCTTTTCCTTTTTCAAAGGAAAAGGAGTGTTTTTTTGTTTTGGGGGTTTTTTTTTGTTTTGTTTTTTTGCTTAGAGAGTGGGCAGCAGGACCCTCCCAATTGCTGTTTGGTAACAGCAAGAAGGAAAATATTCCCCAGCTGCCAGATTTTCCTTCCCTGCATTTATTCCCAAAGGTTGAGTCCATTGAAACATTATGCGGGGTGTTGTGGGGGGCAGTGTGCAGAGAGAGGACAGCCTCTGAGCTGGGGGTGCAGAGGGGTGGGGACTGAGCATTCTGTGGATTCCGTGAGCAGCAGAGAGCCACCTGGCCTAGGAGACTGCCGAAGGAAGCAGTTCACCTCGAGGGGCAGGCTACAGGCAGGCCTGGAAATACTGGGCTCCCTTGTTCTCAGTTACGCCAAACTCCCATGGGCCAAGCATGCTGTGGGGGACCACATGTGCTAGGACTGATTTATACTGTTGCCTTTTGGGTCAGGGTGGGTCCTCCCTGGTGCCTGGGCATCCTATAAGACCTCAGGACCTTTGCTTCACCCTGGGGGAGGGACCCTGAGAAAGGCCGAGGTTGAATTTCTTGTTGCTCTCGAAGAAAGGGCATTCACAGTGGAAGTTAAGTGGATTTGCAGAGACAGTAAAGAACTGTTTATCTTTCACACACTTGTGTCTGAGTCAAACCTTGTTCATTGTCTCTCCCCTGCTGGCCTCTACAAGAGCAGGCACAATGTTTGCCTTGTTTTCTGTCAAAACTCTGGTGCTAGCCCAGAGTCTGGGGAAAACTAAGCAGATATCTGATATTTATCTACAGAAAGAAGAATGCAAGAGCTGGCTCCAACGGACAGTGGGTGCAGCTAATGCCAGGCTCTTGGAAGAAACATGAGAACATCAATGGGAGATACTGTCATGCTGCAAGCAAGCTCTTAGACTGCTGCTGGCTCGGAGGGGGGCAGAGGGCCCATACTGAGCACCCCAGGGGCCTAGCAGAGGGGAGAGTCCAGGCATGTCAGGCCACTGGCTCTGCATGCCTGCGCCTGCTCCATCCTCACGGGGACCTGCAAGGGAAGTACACTTAAACCCTCCACGCACAAGCAAACAAGCGGCGTGGTTAGGTGACTTGCTCAACATCACACAACTAAAAAGTGGCAGAACTGAGATCTAAGTGCAAGCAGAAAACTCATGCTTTATCCTCTAAGCCCGGTGAGTTAGCGGCCCCACTGCAGGCCTGGCAGAGTTAGGAGGCGCCTTTGTGATGTGATGTGAAGGGGCCCGAAGCCCCGCCATTCTGTGTTATTTCTCCTGGTGAGGTGCTGAGGGTCTGTTACTCATTTGTGTCTCAGAGCGATGCTGTGCGAGCCAGCAGCCGCCTGCCACACGAGGCCACCGAACAATGGAAGTGTGGCTGGGCCCAACTGGGATGCTCCGTAAGTATAAAACACACACTGAATGTCGCAGACTTCGCGTGAAAAAACAAAGAATGGGTAATGTCTCATTTTTAATGTGGACGAAAGGGGTGTCTATAATAAATCTGACCAGTCCAACCAAATCTTACCATAAATTGCTGACTGGGCAGATCATAATATCTTCTGTTTTTGTTACAAGAGATTTTATTTATCTTGAGAGAGAGAGGAAGAAAGGGAGAGAAACACTGATCAGTGGAGG